AAAATAATAAAATCAAAAGCCCTTGCAGTACAATCTGTACAAAGTGAAGAATAGCATACTTTCACACATTGTACTGAAGTACATACCTAAATAGTTTCGTATAGCTGATACAAGAGAATCATCAGGACTGTTGCATTTCTGTGAATCATGAGAGAATGTAGAAATCTGGGAAGGGCAAAAAGCAGTTGTTGTTTTAATCTATAAAAGCAGAATAATACTGATAATAATGATGTATAATAATAATGATGATGATGATGATGATGATGACAATATTAATAATAATAGTTTTTTTCTTCTATTATTAATTAAGGTCTTTATGTTAATTGTTTTGTTTTATGCTTATGTGGTAATATTAATAGTAATAATAATAATAATAATAATAATAATAATAATAATTACTCATTTATATTTCTGGTAAACAATAAGGAGTAATTAATATTTTAGATTTATAATAGACTCAACCACCACTCTCTTACCTGATTTATCAATGTTCTACTCCAATTACTTTTCTTGTAATCATAAAAAATTTTACTTTCAATTTGATTAAAGTTCTGACATTGATCCGATAAGAATATATTTGTACAGAACCCATTATCAATGTAACATTTAGGACGATTTTCAAATTCAAGATTTCCAAACTCACTACAATGAGTATTTGCATCATTATAGAGAGCACTGTTGACAATAGACTGCATCAAACATTTATGAACATTAGTAATCCATGCTTGACCCTAAAATAATTATATTAATAAATTCATATTATTGCTTTGGTAAATATACAATTGCAATGTGTCAATCCACAGCTCCACTACAAATGTATTTTATACATCTTCATGCAAATATTTTAGTGGCTTCATCCTCGGGTATGATTTCACCATAATGGCATTACAAAAATTACCATTATAGATAGCTTTCTTAGAAGCATTTTTCTTAAAAGGATGTTTTAGCTTTCTAATTAGTATATAATTACAACTATATACAACAAAGATATTATAAATAATTTGTAATTATATAAAGTATATGGTGGATCATGTAGGGGTTTTTCTAGGAAATATTTACAAGAAAGGTATCAGATATCAAAGCTGCCCAATACTAGTTGGTGAAAGCAACTTTAATGGTAATTTTTTTGACAAATGACCAAAAGGTCACAATTACAATAAAACAAAATAGAATACAAATCAAATCAGGCTGTGGCACAGTGTTATACTGTGGAGCATAGCTCCAAAACAGATTGGCAAGCCAGCGTAATAACAAAAAAACCAAGAAAGAACAAAGACTAGAATAGAGTAAATAAGGAAGAGGAGGAGGAGGAGGTTGATAAAATAACACTGATTAGAATTTAAAAAATACAATAAGGTAATAGATTAAATCTACATGGCAACTCTGTTGCCAGCTAAAATTTTTTATCAACATATCAGCTAAGTTGCTTTCAACAAAGTTGATTAGGTTGTGGGGCATATATCAATGCAATATTAGTGTACTTACTGCTGTTGTAAAGGACTCTGATTGGTTCATGAATCTGCAACAATAACGTCTTCCACGGAAAAGAGGATAACCCCTTTGTCCACAACTGAATTTAGCACTCAAGCAATCATAGAAACTGCAGTTACCAGCACTGGCCAGAGCAGAGCAGTCAGTACCTTGAGCTACAGTGATGCACAATAGAATGACAACTGTAGTAGCAATAGTGGAAAAACCAGAAATCATCTTATGATATTAGCTAGCTGCAGCCTATAAAGGAAAAAAACAATAAAGAGGAAGAAAAGGGATGAAATGAGAGTGAGCTGGAAATCTGAAGGAAACAGAAAATAACTGAGTTTAAATAAAAACTATGCAGGAAGCATCAAAGCTATCACAGGAAGTAGATTTTTAGTTTGAGCATACTGTGACATGTGGGAGGAGCAGGGATAAATAAGAAATTGGCTTTGAAAATACTTTTTGCATGATTTTATTACATGTTGTGAATACGATTGCTGGAAAAACGAAAGTAGCCATGCACCTGTGTGCCATTGTTATCTATGAGTCCTTGTACAAAGAAGCTTATAAAATTAATTGTCTTCTAAAATATGACATACAAAAAGAAAGTTTAAACCAATTATTATCAGATACTGCTATAAATAATATTATGTAGAAGTTGCAAAATAATATCATAACCAATTGACACACCTTCGAAACACTAAAATGAGGCTTAGAATCAGACTGAACAATTACAACTAGAGAAAACAGTGGAAATGCTTAAGCAGAAAGAGATATAGCAAAAGCAGTTGCATTGAAAATTGGAAAATACCTGCATAGTGCATGCATGGTATGTGTGAATGAAAATATTATAGCCATTCAATTATTTGAACATACTCACACTCACAATATATAGTAACGACTGAGATACAACTCCAAATTACAGAATCACCATTTATACTAAGTGGTAGTGCTTTGTATGTAGGGCTGCATATGTCTAGTGCAATTTATATATACTGCAGCTACTGCTCTAGTGTATGATAGTCACTAACATACACTAGAGCAGTAGCTGCAGTATCTTAAAATTGCGCTAGACATATGCAGCCCTACATACAA